ATTCATCTAGCGATAGTGAAGTTCATTATTCACCAGTGAAGTGTAGTTTAGGCGTCGGTCTATGTTCAGGCAGTGTGCCATAAGCAATCCCCAAGGGTCGTGGCAGGTCACGATCCAAAACCCCGGGCCCACTGATAGTGAAAGTGATTTGAAGGCAAGTATGCGGGGACAGAGGAAGTAGTGGTGGGTGGCACGGTCCCTAGACCACATGGCACGGTGGGTGGACAGACAAAGGACCACCCGGCATCCCCTCAGCCAGTGCTGCCTCCACTCCTGTCCCTCCTCCTGTTTCCCTCGCCTCATGCCACAGGTCCACCCGCACCATGTGATCGTGAGTGGAACTGTACACAAAGTATATATTCGTGCCACGCTTGGTGATTTTGATGCAAGTGGAAGTGGTATCCAGCCAGGATGTCCCCTAACAAATGAGTCAAACAGAGTTAGACTATTTCCAGTTGTACTTTGAGGAGCTATAATGAACTTGATATGACCCAGACAAACAGTTTTTAAACCGATATTCATGGACAACACAGCAGAGGTTATAAAATCGTCACGCTGCACAGGTAGAAGACACAACAGTGGTTGAAATGTATTTATTCCTTGCCACTGTCATGCTTATGCTACATATCTATAAGAACAATATACGTAATTACTGGGCCATAGTCCCCCTTCATCAGTACTCCAGTTTTCCGGGGACCTCCTTCCCCGCAACGATTCACTCTGTTGCTACGAATGTTGCACTTCTCAGACAGAAATATGCCAAACAGAAAGACCTTCTATACAAAATCCGGAAATGTTTATGTATTTGAAGCAGAAATTCAGTGTATACTTTTATCCCTTCAAGAACATTGTGTTGATGAGTCCTTGATTCTGTTCAAGGGACGCCTGTCTTTTTAAGCAGTATATACCGAGCAAACGCAATCACTTTAATATAAAACTGTTTGTTATGTGTGACTGTGAGAGTGGTCTTGTGTTGGATGTTATTGTAATACACTGGGAGAAACACACTCGAGATGACAGATGGATGTTGGGCATTCCTGTGATGTTGTTCAAGGATGATGGAACCATACCTTGCAAGGGCCATACATTGTACACAGACAACTGGTATACAAGCCCTATGCTTGCTGATTTCCTACGTGTGAACAATACTGATATTTTGTGGAACAGTGAGAAGGAATAGAAAACATATGCCAAGGTTCAGTGGAGGCAGTGTTGAAGGTGCAGTGCAAGTGTTTCATGCTAATGACATCATGGTACGACGTGGGATGACAAACGGGACGTGACATTGCTGTCAGCCATCCACAGAAACGAGATGGTACAGACAGACAGACTGAGCAGGTTTAAAATGAACCTATTGTAAAACCAGCTGCTGTCGTGGACTATACATACAATATGCGACTAGTTGAAAGTGTGACATGATGATAGGGTTTGTTGACTGTGTATGTAGGAGTCGCAAGTGGTATGTAAACTGTTTTTTCACCTTGTAGACATTGCAGTGCTTAATGCATTTAATTTGTACAAAAATAAAGACTGGAAAACGACAACGTTTTGCAGAAATTTTCTCTGAATGTTGTCAGACAGTAGCAAGAAAGTATGGTACCACACCTGTACCTGCCCCTCAACAGCGACTAGTCCCACAAAACCCCAGCCAGTAGGGAAGTACCCGGGCCAAATCACTCCTAACTGTCACTATCTGGTACCAATACCACCTACCTCAAAGGAGGGAAAAATTCCCAGAAAAAGTGTGTTGTGTTTCTACCCCCAAAAAACAACCCCAACAGCAGAACGCACACATTCATTTGTCACCAGTGTGGGTGGCACTCTGTATGAATCCATGCTTCATGGAGTATCATACAATTGGTGGAATTCTAGAAACATAAGTGGGACATGTAATATTTGTATATAGTTATAGATAGTAAATGTGATTCAGCCAGGTGTGCAAAATCACCACCAATCAGTGTGTACATGTGTGTTAATGACAATATGATGATAATTTCGTATATAATATTAGTGTATAAAAAAACAATTGGCATTGAAATCAAAAGATTTACTATAAAACATAATTATCATATCATGAAAACCAAGAAAAATGAAAAAAAAAAAGAAGAAAAAAACGGTAAATACGTAGAATTTCTGCAAGCGGCAGTGCTCCATGTTGCCATCAGGGGATCGCCAAGTGCCAACTTCGCGGCCTCATATCTCAGTAAGTTACTGAACCCCAATTATTTTTTTTATTCCAAAACACTTAAAAAATGTGCTTTTTTTTTTTTTTTTATTTTTTTTTTTTCCAAAATATTCAGGGCGCTGCGCGAGAGAACGTAAAATACAGCAGGGGCCCCACTTATACGGCAGGTTAGGTTCCAGGCTACCGCCGTAAAGCGGGAAAACCCCCGTTTTAAAATGGAACACCCTTTTTTTTCCACTTATAAATGCATACAAACACTAGATAACAAGTTTACACTAACATAAATTTAAATTAGCAATAGAACCAGGCATCAAAAAAAAAATAAAAAAGTACAATACACACATAGTGCATTCATTACTTACCTTAAAATATTTATAGTCTTAATCTAGGGTGAGACAAGTAGTATTTATTGTAAGAAATCAAGTGTGGTATGTATGGTAATCAGCAGGCTACCTTACCAGGCCACCCACCCACACATACTATTCTATGATATTTAAGCATCCCAGAGCGAAAATGGGAATACAGTTCCCAATTTTCTTTCCTTAAAATATAGGGTGAGATGGGTATTTAAAGTAAAAAATCAATGTGGGTGTAGGTAAACACCGGGCTACCTACCGGCCCCCCAACCCCCAATTATTCTAGTATTTTAAACATCCCGAGCGTTTAAATGTATTACAGTTTACTCATTACTTACCTTAAAATATTTGTATCTTTTAAAGTAGGGTCAGGAGTAAGTAAAAGAGATAAACGAATAAATGAAGGAGAAAGAATGACTACATGAGAGAGGACAGGCGCAGAGTTAGGGAAAAAACCAGGCGAAGGTAAGTTTTGTAAAAAAAAGAAGGGTAAAGTTGGTTTGGTACAATTACATTGTGTACAGGTTGTTTTTCCCCATTTTACGGT